CAGTTCATCACACAATGATCAATAACTTGTAAATATATATCTCACCTCTGTACGAGATCAGTCGTGACCCGAATAGCTCACTGATAATGTAGGCCGGATGATATGAGATTGGATCAACTAGTGGACATCACCTACGTCAAAACGATAGGCATCACCTGACGATGAGTGCCCAGAGTTTCCTGTCGACTAACGCCAACCACTACCTTTCATAATCACATGAGTTATGAGTTCATAAAGCAATGGTAATTCTAACTGCTTTCAAGTGTTTTAATTAAAGGTTTAAATTAATGGAGATTATGTGGGAACTATCAACTGTGTAAGAAATACAATTTCGGAGTTTGATTTTCTGTTAGCGTCTTAGGCAAGAAGATATTATAAAAAATAATCAATTAATGCATGTTAAAAAAGGGAATTGTTAAAAGTTAGCAAGAGAATTGTTGATAATTATAATATAGTATTACTTAATTAACTCACCGTTAAACGTCTTCATATTTCAATGTCTTAATTAATTAAATTTATGTTTATTTTGATTGACATTTTATATTAATTAACTTAGACAACCGTATTCAAAATGGTCTACATACTATTCTCTTTAGGTCTTTTAGAAGATTGTGCTCTCTATCTATAAACTTACCATCAATCCTATTTAACTCGACCATTGTTGCTACCTTGACGTGGTTATCGGGTTTGCCTGTTGTGATGAATCAATCGAGCTATTCTGGCTGGAACAGTCGTTCCTCAAGGTCCTACCATGACAGAGAGGTTGAAGAGCGATAAGACTAAAAGCAGCAAACCCAAAGTCCGAGGGCGAAGTCGTACCACTGACTGTACAGAGGTGTGACGGTAGTAAGGTATTTCCTTCAGACAACCAGCTTAGCAGAGAGGATGCCTTCCCGCAAGGAGGGGTTGGGTTAGAAATGGTCGACTCTAGAAATGCACACCACGCCTTATCTTACGGATATCTGTCTCCGGCGTTAAGGTCTCAACAAGTACGGAGCTAACACGAAAATTGTGTGTGACCGACCTCAAGCAGTTGCTCCTTGGACACTACGGTCACGCTCTCAGGTCACTAAGACCACCTCTAATCCAAGTTCCTTTTCAGGTACCTCCAGAAGAACCCTTCCACGGTGTGGACAACATAGAAGTGATAACCGCTTTGATACTTCTAACAGCTCTCAAGAATTCTATTTAACGCGTGATAGTCATTGAATTTCATTTTATGTCAATATCTATCAATATTCATCAGGATGTAAATCGAAAATACAAAATGTGTTTTTAGTATGTAAGATTAAGCTTCACTTATTCCTAACTGTCTTTAGTTTAGCAATTCATTGAAATAAATATCCAATAAGTTTACAAATATAATGATGAAATTTAAAACGAAAGATACTTCTAATAAAGATAAGTAGATTAAACTAATACTCAACAATACTATAACGTTAGCAAATATACGCGACTAGAAAGAGGAAACAGTACAGTAGATTTTTTGTCTTTAGTAAAACAACAAGACAAATATTTAAAAAAAAACTTTACAATATACTTATCATTCTATAAGAGAAGAATACCAGTAGAAATAAATGTAAGTTGCATGTCGTTGCTCAACAACAAAAGTAACAAATGTTGTCAAAACCTCATGATATCATAATATTGATTTATACTAACCATTATACGTAGTTATTAGTTGTGAATTTTGGAGAGTAAAACTATTGATTTCTATTAAAGTATAGATATTGTTGATGTATCATTCTATGCATAAAATTAACATCATTCATGTAAATAATAAATGCATTGATATGTCATGCGCACTATTATGACATTTAAAAGAAAATCGAAAAAGAGGATTTATTACCACTATAGTGTATTACATTGAGAAAGTAAAGGAATTGTAGTGAAAGAGAATACAGGCGGGGACAACCAAATGTACTTTATTAAAGTATTACAGAATATCTTGGTAAAATCTGAGAATCATACAGTAAATACTTTACTTGCATAGTATCCATCAGTTGTCTCAAACTTTGTTGTTCCTTCGTTTCCATACCAATCACTCTCTGTTCTCGTTCTTTTCTTTTCGAATTTTTTCAGCCTTCTACCGTTAGTCAATTCAGTTTTGATTGGCGATGCATACTACTTATATCTGTCGACATTAGTAGCACACACCATAGAATATGTCAACTTCATGTATTTTTCAATCATATCTTTACTAAATAAATAAATGTCTCTAAAATTCTTGAAGAATTAGTCGTCTCCTAATGTATGTAAATATATTAAAAGTTGATGACACATTTAAGATCAAAGTTTCTTAGTACAAAGTGAAACTACCACTAAAGCCTTAACCTATTCACAAATGATTTGTAAATATCAATATAAGAGGTATATGCAGAGTACTGAATGCTATCAGTGTTATGAACAGACCAAAGTTAGACAACTTTTGAAAACCTGGAAGCACTGGACATCTGTTTTGTACTAGTATGGCAAGCCTTTACTAGTGTGTATTAAAGAGGCCTTAGTTGATTGGACGCAGAACTTGAAGGTATCACTGCGAGCGCCTAACCTCTAGGCCATTGACCACCAGGCATCCAGTGGTGTATAAATCGGATTGGATAATTTTATATGCTTGGTCGTTGAATCATCGGTGTTTGCTTTAATAACAAGCTACTGACAGGTGTGAAACCAAAATAAACATTAATAAATCCTCTTCAGGTTCTACAATTATATATCCAAATTAATAATCCGAAAAATGGCCAGTTTAAGGGTAAAGTACATAGTTTAAAGCATGTGAATTTAGGATTGTGATAAATAAAATACAATAAAATTGTGCATGTTGTTATGACTCATAAAGAATGTTAACTTGAATCTGAGTTTATGTTCAGTGAGATTTTAACATCTATGATCAGAATAAATATGGGTCAAGTAGGGTGAGAAAAATAATAGTGCAATTACCATTCGATCAAATAGGTAAGACGTAATAAGGAGGGAAGAATCATGTATAGAGGAGATTAATAATGAATACGAAAAATAATAATAATAATAATAATAATAATACAATGATTTATTAATAAAGATAACTGAGAAAATTACAATTGACTACGAAAGGTCATAGTCAAATTACGTCATTCAATAGCTAAGATTACGATTGATTAATTGGCCTTAATGTTGGCCAGGGGAGGAGGAGTGGTTGAATATATTTCTTCTGTACGCATAGCTCCGGTTTCTTCATCCGGATGGCTATTGCTTCAGCTGTTTGAAGGACTTTCAGTCTGACCAGTTTGGGCAAAATATTACTGACCTTATAAATAATTGAAAAAGACTGGTTTATACTGGCACTATGACCAGTTTGTACTAAATGGGCTAATATTGAGCTGTTCACTTTCTTCATCAAACCTTTGTTAAGCCACGCTGGAAGGTGTTCACGAGCACGAAAATGTAAATTCCTAGAACTTCGACCAATGTAACTCGCTCCACAGGAGCAGTCGAACTGATAAATGCAAAATGAGGTGGTCATTCTAGGTAATTCATCTTTTAGTCTCGGTGTAACCATTGGGCGCGTAGAAAACACTAATCGCAGTTCTCCGGCGTTAAAAGATTTTTGTATTGTCCTACGTAGTCTCTGAGTTAATATTTCACTCTCCACATCCCCTCTGAATTGTAAACGCATGAACAGGGATTTCTTCTTCACTGTTTGTATTTCGCCTATTTTCGCCTTCGTGATCATATATTTAGTTATAAACTTTCTAGGGTAGCCGTTCTCCCTGAGAGTATTATGCAAGCTGTTAAGCTCTTGTTCAACTATATCAGCAGAGAACTGCGATTAGTGTTTTCTACGCGCCCAATGGTTACACCGAGACTAAAAGATGAATTACCTAGAATGACCACCTCATTTTGCATTTATCAGTTCGACTGCTCCTGTGGAGCGAGTTACATTGGTCGAAGTTCTAGGAATTTACATTTTCGTGCTCGTGAACACCTTCCAGTGCATCTAGGTTTTCCATGGTAGTCTGGCTTTAATTGTCTCATGGACTCAACTATTAAATTATTATAATATCCACAAAACTCCTTTCTGATTATGAGACCTCATCTGTTTTATTGACTTTCTGAATTATTATAATTTGGTTTTAAGAATATAAACAATTATGCAGCATAATGTAATAGTGGAAAATTTTATTTTCTCTGTTCTTAATCCATATGTTCATTAAAAGTCTTATTCTTTTGTTTCCACGCTGTTGGTAGACGATAGAAGAAACGTAATGGTATTTCGTTAGAAATAATTCAAATACTTCACTGTCAGAGATTGTTTGGAAATAAACGAATCTGATTATGGTCAGTTCCTCATCATATATATGAACAAATTATATAGACAACCTCCATATGTTTTTATGTATTCAGTTTTAGTTAATCCTGTCTGGATGAAGAATTTTAGTTATTTAAAGACTGAAGATTGAACGTGACTTTCTAATTAACTGGTAACAACGTGGATATTATAAAAGTGTTTAAAATAACTAACAAACTATAAACACCATTCTTACTCCTCATTGAATAGGCTGTCGCAATCAAACGCTTAGGACTTGACTTTTGTATACAGAAAAAATGTTTGGTAAACATTTCATTACCATGATAAGTTAGTGATAGTTATTTTAATGTTTATCAATTATGTTATCCCTTTATTACACTTAATTCTACTGATATTCACTAATGATGTTAACTTGGATTTTATTTGAATTGGCTGTCATGTTAATAAGTTATTTCTATTCATTGTCCCTTTATAATCAATTTTAAACTTCAGCTGCTACATTTTCTAATTACATCTTTAGCAATATAAATACTAATCTATCTTAACTATTATATAAAAATGTTCCTAACAAATATATGCGTAATTAGATTGCTTGAGATGTAATGCTCTAATATATCACGTCATTTTGATAATTTATGTCTTCTTTTTACACAATACAAATTTATCATACGGACTAATATCTCTGTATTAATAATATTAATCAATATTTTTGGTCATTTACAGCAAATGACAAGCCTCGGAATATGATGAATTCATATTATTTTGTAAATTTTATCCTTATCATTTTATTTAACTTCCTATGTATTTTAACATTAGATATTAACAAGAATCAATTATGTGGATGATATATTTTATGCATAAAATAAATAATAGCGAAGATTTATAGCTCAGATGAATGAATTTGGTACAGTTTCGTTCTTTGCTGTGGATAGTTTCATCTTGGAGCTTTCATTATTCTACAATATAACATCATCAGCACAAACTTTAGGGTAGAAATGAACGAACTGAATTTCTCCATTTATAACTCTTAGCTTGCTCTATAAACCTCGATTATTGTTGACCTTCAACCTCTCATTCTATATTTTGATCTTATCTCATTTTGTTATTCTATAAAATTTGACGACCATTATATAAAGTATCATCCGTTATCGTAGTACTATTTTAGAATAAACAGTTAGCACAACATGTAGTGTTTAATAAACAAAACTATTTTATTTACAATCGATATTCATTTGTCTTTTATTAACAATTAAAACAAAAAAAAGTGACATCATAAGTGAGTTATCCTAAAAAAAAAACAAAAAAAAAACCAATAGTCACATCAATGAATAAAACTTCATAAAAATACAATGATTATCTTCATTTATTATTTAATAATTTATGTTCTAGCATTTCATTCATAGTTATATCATAAACGCTAATATAAATCATTTGTCTTATAAAATATAACAATGATATAATGATCATACAAGGAATGTTTAATTTATCGGAATAATCTGTTTGATATTAGATAAAAATAAACAAACACACATTCAAACTGCTTCCTTTAGTATTACAAATTAAGAATATTAACATAGAGCTAATGATTATGAATGATATAACATCAGTAATATTGTGATAACAAATATTTTAAGATAATTTACATTTAAAAACAAACAAACAAACAAACAAATGATGATTACATTGTAAATTTAAAAAAAAAATTACCATTACACTCCACTTTCTAATTCTTGTGTTTCGTTAAGTGTTTCAAATATACACATACGAGAATTTGAATGTGTACTACAATTTATTGGATTATTATTGAAATAATGTTTATTATTTATATCAGTAGTAATATTATTTCGTCGTCTTATATGTCTAGGAGAATTTGGAGCAGAATGTATTTTTATTTCATTTGTACGAAAAAATTCCATATGAATAGGATTTAATGTATTTTGATTAAAAATTGATAACCAATATGATACAGAATGTTCATCAGCAATTTCACCTTCAAGTGTTATACCTTCTCCACATCTTGTATAAATATGAAAATGTTTCTCATCTATTGGACTTGAACGTGTATGTTTTAAATTAAATTTCATATAAGGAGGTGAATAATAATCTGGTGTATATTCAGAATTTTGTGGATTTATTCTTGTTTTTAATAATAATACAAAAGTTGGAATGTCTATATTATGTGTATTAAGTTTTGATGAAATTGAAGATGATTTCTGATATATTTGTACCCATACAAGTTGACGGTATTTATCTGATGAATTTGATGAATTCACAGGTCCTATATATATTTTTCCAACTATAGTTTGTCCTAAATTATTAGAATGATCAATAATATTATTTAAATGATTATTATAATTCATATATCCATAATTTTGATCGTAATTTGTATTGTTATTACAATTACCATTACTGTCAACATTATTATTATTATTATGATCATCGTCATTGTTAATAAAAAAATTTGAAAGTGGTACAGTTAATGATTTACAATCTTCAGGTGGTTCATTTATTGTCTCTAATATATCCTTTTCATTAACAATTGGATCAATTAAAATCTGTGGTAGATTATTCATTTTTAATTAATGCTTTAATAAATTGATATTAGCTTTTAATATAACAAAATAAACATGATCTTTTTAATATCATTTTCAAATTATGACTTATTACTTAATAGATTAATATTAAATCATTTCAAAATCTATTTATTAATGAACCAATCATAAATGAGTTATAAATGTTAATTATTTACAGAATTTGTATAAATCAACCAATCATATGCTTGATATAAATTTCTGTACTATGATTGGACTATTGAAATTATGTTTTATTAATTATATGAAAAAAAAATAAGCTTCAATTATCATGATAACATATGGACTATCAAATAAACCTTAATTAACACAAGATATAGTTTATTAAATTGGAAAAATCAGGATAGACACTGAATGTTAACAATTTTGTATTATTATGTAAAAAAAATAATAAACAGTAAATTTAAATGATCAAGGTAGTTGAACAGAAACGATATAAGTAATACGGTAAATTATTCAATTCAGAATTATTTCATTATTGTAGATGTTGATCATGTTTAAGGAAAACACAGATAAAGAAATGAATATTCTGGATAACAATTCGAAATAAAATATTTTGCTATTTCCTGTTTGTGAATGAGAACTAAAGTCATAGGAACAAGAAGTGAACAAGAAAAGAATACCAAAATTTGAAATTATGAGTCAATTGAAGCTAGATCACCATGGAAAACCTGGAAGCACTGGACGTCCGTTTAGCCCTAGTATGGAACTCCTCAAACTGATAGGTCCTGGATTTGAATCTAGCAGGGGATATGATCGTGAAAGTCCCATACTAGAACGAAACGACCGTCCAATGCTTTCAGGTTTTCCATGGTGATCTAGGTTTAATTGACTCATGATTTCAACTATTGAAATTTCTAAAATCTTCACAAAACCCCTTCGGATACGAAAAAAGTTGTTTATTTTAATGAAAAGAATGGAAGCACAGGTTTAAAAGTTTTTGAACTAGGAAATATTTACTACCTTTGCTCTGTTTATTTTATTCGATTCCAAGATATTCAAAACCTATCAAATGCTTAAAATTTCATTTTCATCAATAAGACATTATGCTAACATCTACTCTTTCTGTACTAGTGATAAATTTTATGTGCTTAGTTAACAGTAAAGTTGATTGTTTTTACCTACCAGAAAACGATAGGAAAATGAACAAACTTTCCTCGAAATCAGATATTTCTACAGACATTACAGAGCACTGATTTCAATCAAATATTGATCTCGGTGCAAGCAAAAATCAAGTTTAGATTTTTCAGAATAAATTCGTCATTCCTATTATAAATTGCTAATTCATTAATAAAAAGACTTAAGACTATGTTTCTTCAATTACATCATACAAGTGAAGAATGTCAGTGAAATAGTAAAGAGATAACAGTTTTAGATTTTGTGTAAACAGAAATTTTTGTGCATAATCTTTGTTTAACAATATTAATTATCAGTAGTTTGCAATAAATTGTAAATTTGAATGTTTTTTTAATCACAACACAATTATTAGCTTTAGAATATTTAATAATTACGAATCACTAAAAGTCTAATTTCTTCAAATTCAACCAGTCATGTGACATGAATATAAAAACTATTTACATAGTAAATCCAATCGTTAGCTTGATTATCATTTTATCGTTTTAGTGGGTTTCAGTTGGCATCGCTAATTACATTACATAATCATCCAAAAGATTATCAAGTAATACCAATTTTAGATGAGGATAATTGTAGAAGACATGTATATTTCATTGTTCATCACAATTACTAAAAACATAACATGAACCATAAAGAAGTAATGTACAGAAAATGGACATTAACGCATTGGTGTATAGTGGAAGGGATTTGTAGGAATCTGTTAGTGATATATCGTCTTAATATAAAAGATATCAGTATTGATCAGTTTGGCTATGCTTAAATGTTTATATCATGTAATAACTGATAATTCCCTGTCGAACAAACGTTTATACTTGTTAAATATTCTGACTGCATCTTAATTTACTTCTTATTCAGTAAAGTTGATTCTCAAAATCAAAACTCACTTTGATTTGATCAGCATTCACAAATTTATCATCATTTTATTGAGAAATATTAAGGTTATCAGTTCAGGAAACCTAAAATGTATTTGGTGAATTCTTGTACATATCACATTACTTTGGTTAAAGAATGTCTTCAAGTTCCAATGTACAACTTTAAAATACAAATGCATTAGCTGTTTGTTGAAAGTTATTTATTTACTTACACCTGTTACCACTCTTGGAGGAGCGTAGGCCAAACGCTACCATTCTCCATCGAAATCTGTCCTGGACAATCTTTTCCAGTTCTTCCCAGTTACTATTAATCCTTTTTATACTTATTTCTAATTCTTTGTACAGTATGTCCCTTGGTAATCCTCTTTTACGTTTCCATTCATAATTCACGATTAACACTTGTCTCGTGATGCAGTTTGATGAATTCCTCAATATATGTCCTTTCCACCTTCAAAGTCTTTTCCTAATTTGTTTCTCAGTTAGATCTGGGTTTTTTTTCTTTTCTACAAAAAACTGTTACTGATGATATCCAGTCAACGGATATCTTAAGTATCTTAAGTAGACGACCGTTCATGTTCGAATTACTATTTATAATATCAGTAGTCTAAACAGTTAGAAAAGTAAATCAGTAGAATATAAATCATAAATACAACTGAGAAGTAAAAACTCAATTTACTTAGTTTCAATTATTTACTTTCACATTTTTATGCAAAAACACCAAGTTTGTTGAGGGTAACTAAATAAAGTCATTTTCAAATCTGTCAAGTTAATTTTTCGACAATGAACATCATGTTTTGGTATTTTTTTTTACCTCAATAACAAGATATCTACATTCTTGTTGAACGATAATTACATAAACATAATTTCTATAACTGAGAATAAGATAAATATGTACATAAACAAGGAATAGTTAAATCAGAAAGAATGAATTTTCATTAAATCACGACATAAGTTTCGACGTTTTTAGAGTACAAGTCATGTTTTATTCCAAGACTTCATTTATACCGATCTCATTGAAGTGTATAATAAAGGTGTAAAAATCACTTGGTGTTGTTTATTTGAAACTTCTTATTGATGGTTGAGATTGCAATTGATCAGTCTCTGATTAGCATATGTGCATACTGTGCGTATCGCCTCGATATTGAGTTCGAGTCCCATAGCGAACATCAACTCTGAGATGTAGGTACACCCAACTGACGAGTCCGCAATAGGACGAAACGCGGTCCTGGATTCCACTGCTAGCCACTATCCATCATTGCTTATAATGTGTTAAAAATCATTCATCATTATAAATAAAATTATTCGTATATTGTACTTACTTTACTTACTTACGCCTGTTACTCCCAATGGAGCATAGGCTGCGAACCAATATTCTCCAAACCAACCTGTCCTGAACCTTCCTTTCCAGTTTTGTCCAATTTTCGTTCTACGGGATGGGGTCGCTTACCCCATGCCCAACCCTTCTCCTTTATCGAAGCTCAGGACAGGCAGTTGGATACAAAATGAATCAGTCGTTATAATAGAGATCAATAGAAAAATTTCTGACATACGTTTACTATTATACAAAAATAATTAAGTGAATATAATTTCGTGTAGGAATTGTTAGGTTCATAAATAATTTCATAAATGATTATAACTTATTCGATTTATTTGTAAAAAGTTATACTGCCTAAAATGTATCTTTCAAGTTAATAGCGTGACTTTGAGTTGTGATTTGGATCATTTTTAGACAAAATTAAGAAAACTGATTAAACTAAAGATAACTGGAAAATAATTTCATATGATCAGACCTTTAAAAGTTGTAGAAATAATTTCAGATCGTTTTTGTTTACTAATGAATTTGTGATCAGTGTATGAACGTGCAAACTGGAACACATTACTTGCGTTAGATTCGATCGATAGCAATTCATATACATATTGGAACAATACATATATGAAAATAATATTGATTACACTTAGACAGTCATCATGCTTAACTCAAATATACGTGAATATCTATTGGGATAACATAATTAACATTACACCAATCAAGGTAGTTTATCAATCAATGTTCACATTGAGATAGATTATATAACTGTATAGGATAGGAAAAAGTATGTATTGACAGTAAGAAGAATTTTTCCCTATCGTGTATAGTTATACAATCTATCTCATAGTGAACATGGACTGATAAACTACCTTGATTGGTGTAATGCTTAATATGTTGTCCACATGAATATTCATGTATATTTGAGTTAACCATGATGATTGTTTAAGTGTAAACAATATTGTTCTCTTATATGTACTGTGCTAATTTTTATGATGAACCAATGCCATCTGAAAGTGCAAATGAACGCAAATTATTATTCCATTTTAAGGCAAACTTAGGTAATATCTATCTATGGAACCTCTAACTGAACTCAGTAGCCAAGTAAATACAGCTTTGGATGCTTGAAGTTAAAAACATAGGGTTCAAGTCTTAAAGTGAATATAAGCACTTGGGTAGATGTACATCTAATTGACGAGTCACATATAAGAATAAACGCATATTTTTGGTCTTACCCAATTTCTAACTTAGAAATACTGTATACATAATGAAATGATTGAGAAAGTTCTCTTTCAAAACACATAAGTTATAAGTGAGTAATTACTGACAGCCTTTAACTTTAATAACAGAAAAATTACAACTCTTATAAGTGAATAATTATGTCATTTATTTTATTTAAATAAAACCCTTTTATTTCTTTTTCTTTATTCTATTTTGACTCTATTAGTTGTTAGTTAAACCATGATAAAATAAATCTTTATTTAATTCATATCGACTTATACAAATTATGTAATTTCTAGACTTGATAGTCTTACAATTCCAAAATCAAATATTAAGTAAATAAAAATCGTATAGCTGGTGATGTCATTAACATAATGTTATATCAAATTGAAAGCCCACTCTATATATTTAATTATCCAAGAATAGTTCCCATTTATTATTGAAACAAGGATTTTGAATTTATTTTTGCGTAGGCGATGCCTACCAATTACAATATACTTACATAGATTAAAACAACTTTGAGTTATTTCTAATATTCTAGCATAGATGATGAAAGCTTATTTATC